TGTGGAATTGCGTCAAAAATCTAAACATGGAACTGCCTTTTGATCCAGTGATTCCCCTGCTTGGACTCTGCCCTAAGAATCCCAAAACGCTAAATCAGAATAACCTATGCACCCCAATGTTCATAGCAGCACAATTGACAATAGCCAAGTGTTGGAAGCAACCTAAATGCCCATCAGTAGATGATTGGATCAAAAAATTATGGTATATTTACACAATGGAATACTACGCAGCAGACAGAAATAAAGAACTACTAAACTTCGCAACAGCATGGATGGAACTAGAGAGCATTACGCTAAGTGCAATAAGCCAGGGAGCGAAAGACAAATACCATATGATCTCACCTATAAGCGGAACCTAATAAACAATACAAAGATGCAAGGAAAATAAGACCAGCAACACTGAAAGGAGAAGAAACCAAGAGAGACAAGAAGGAAGGAGGGAGGGTTGGGCAGGGAAAAGGAAGGGAAGGGGAAAGTCAAGGAACATATGGCAAGGTCTCACGGACAAAACCAAAGGGGAAGGATTGAAGGAGGGAGTGGGGGAGGGGGCAAGGGAAAGTGGTGGGAGGAAGTAGAGACAAATGTATTTGTAAAAATAAGTAAATTATTTAAAAAATTTTAAAAGAAAAAAGAAAAAACATATCCTGTGATTCATTCTATTTGGATCAGTTGCTTTATGTCACCATCCCTACACTCATCACTACATGTGAAGAGATGGGTTTACACACACCGACTGACGAATCTGGGTTATGTTTCTTTCCTTTAGTCAACCGCAGTTGTTCAGGTGGTTCATTTTTCTTCTTGACAAGGTCCTCTCCTTCAGGACTAGGAATTCTGAGCAGATGGTGGTAAAGCCACTCCAAAACTGATGGCAATATTTCCCAAAGGAAATTCAGAATTCAAGCTACATTTTCCAGAAAGAAGATGAATGGAAGGCAAAGAACACAAGTTGCTTTTTAAAATTGAAAACTGATTATTAGAAATGTGTAATTGGTTAGCATGTATATATAAATAAATAAAGTGTATTAATCCATAAGTTATCTAAAGGTTGTACTATATATGTGTATACACTATATATATATATATACACATATATATATATATATATCAGAGGAATTTACATGATCACTAAACACGACCTACCTTAAGTAATTTATGAACAAAGGGCCCCTTTAGTTACAGTAACTCAGGGGTCCCTTTTTATATAGTTTCTTCTTTCAGATCATAAGAATTTTCTCTGTTACTTAAAAAGATCAATACTAATAACTATTTCAATATTTAGATTTGTATTTAAGACAACGTCACTGTAGGAGTTCTATTTATTCTCTGCCTCAACTCTCTTGTTAAGTATGGCCTACTTCCCTTATTAAAAGTAGTATTGTAATATACTAATTCTTGTGTATGTGTATAAGAATGTGATATAGAAGCATTTCCAACCATGCCAAATCACTAATCTATTTTAAACATGCCTAAAATGTTCTAAATTCAAAACCAGGGACATTGGTAACCACAGATTTCACTGTTTTTATCACCAGTTCTTATGTGTGGGTCTTTTTTAATGTTTATTAAAAAGGTGAGGTAGAGTTTTTCTATTCTATGTCATTTCCATATAGATTATTTGTGCATTGACTAGTCAATGTATTTACTGAAATTCACTGAGAGATATTCCCCAGAAAGAGTAAAAGTTTTGGTGGATGAAATCAGTACTTGCATGCTTAACTGCAGCAAAAGCTGCTGGTGTTCTATCCTGTCCTGTCCTTTTCACTCAGGTCTCATATGGCAGTGCTCACTGGAGCACTTGCAGCCAGTAACATACACAACTCTTCTCAGGTGCTTTCTTTGGTGGATGGAACCCACTCTATATCAAGAATGGGCAGCAGGACTTGTCCTTTCCCCATCCCCAGCAAATTCCTTTCCCCTCACCTGCAACAACCTCAACCAATCATTGACAGGAGTTGGTGTCAATTCCCTTCCTTTTGGGATGTGGAATGTAACTCAGAGGCTCCAGTTTTCCACTGATTTCCAGAATTTGCCATTGGGGTTGAGATCAGTTACCTACTAGGATATCTTGCTTAACAGCATACACTTACATGGCTGTCTTTTGAATAATGTCCCCTCAAGAATTCATGGCCACCTAGGAAGTCAGAATGTGAACTTATTTGGAAATGAGAGTCTTTGACAAGATAAAGTATCTTGAGATGAGATCATACTGGATTAGAGTAGACTCTAAATCCACTGACAGTATTCTTACCAGAGGCAGAAAAAAGCAGAGACACAACAAAGAAAGTCATGTGAAGAGGCAGGTAGAAATTCAAGGTATACCACCACAAACCAAGGAATGCCAGGAGCCACCAGGCCTGGCAAAAGACAAGGAAGGATTCAATCATGGAGCCATGGAGTTAGCGTGGCCTTTCCTACAACTTGATTTTGCAATCTGTCCCTCCAGAACTGCAAGAGAATAAATTTCTGTTGTTTTAAGCCACCAAGTTTGTGATTGTTATAACAGACGCTAAGTAAACTAATATATTTTCCATGCCTGCCTCATTTCTGTATTCCCTGTGGAAGTTTCCAGGAATCGTGTTCAAAATAAATTACTTGCTTATTTTGCTATTATAGACCCTAACTCAATTCAAACCATTGAATTAGGGTCTGGTGACCCAAATTAAGAAACTGACCAAACAATTGTGACAACTACTGATTTTCTGAATTTCAATCTGTAGTCCTCAGATTTCCTGAGAATGATAAAGAATAACAGATATACCTTTTGCATATCCGCACTCACTTTCTGGCATCTATGTGTTGAATGGATGATTTACAGAGTTGTTGTCCACTGGGACATATTTGAAAGTTTGTAAAGAGCTCTTCCCACACTTTTCCTCATATTTCTGAAAAGCAGAAGAATGACAGCAATGAGAGTTATGCCTCAGTTTTTGGCTGGAGCATAATCTGCCAAGCCAGGCTTGCTGCTCTCAGAGTTTGTTTTAGACTAATAATTATTGTTGACTTGACATAAATCCAGGAGAGAGATCCAGAGAGTGCCATCCATGCATGGGCACAACAGAGTAATTTCTTTGTAGTCTGTATTATGAAAGGCACTCTCCTAAATGAAAGGTAATTTTATGTTTTAACATTTCTCCATTGATAAGTGGTTATAAAATATGTTGAAGATTTCAAATACTTAGGATACACATTTTTAACAATACATTTTATCCCTTTTCAGTATTGTATGTGCGTTAAAGTAAATGGTTGTTCACATTTTTAGTTTTATTTAATATTTTATCTTTAACTGAAACAATTTATACATACCCCATGCCAGTTTTAATATTTTGTGAGTATGTTTTAGTAATATGGATTAATAAAAAAGTATACTGAAAGTTTAAGATGCATCAAAAACATAACATCTAATTCAGAGCTTTTAAACAAAACTGTAAAATACAGGTGAGTGAGTTTAAATTGTGGTCAGTTTTTACATTCTCTTATTTCATGAAACTGGCATCATTAATTCTCAGATGTTTTCATTTAGTATTGAATGCTGCCATCAAATGTTAAGTATTTCAGCTGCTACCAAAGGTCTGCATTTAGTATTCATTCAGCTGCTGAAGAGAAGAGTCGGTAAAAAGGATTAGCTGGCTCAGAGATACCTTTTCAAGTAGCTCTAATTTGGGATAAAATACACTGGCTTCCTATGATGAGAATTGATTTCTAAACCTCGTAATTATAGTATGTCACGATTCAGGTCCAGCTTTCTAGAAAAAAATCTCATATTCTCTTTGTTCCCTTGAAAACCATAAGCTGTCTAAACTACCCACTGAAGTTTCCAATGGACTACGGATTAATGCTTCTTTTATGTTTTCATCCCTTGAATATGGATTTTAAAAAAATTTGAGACCAGTTGCTTTTTGGTTTCAGAAAAATGCTATGATCCTATGAAAAATTTTGCATATATATAATACATACAAATATATCTATAATATATAGATATTATATGCATTAATTATAACCTATATCTGTAGATTAATTATATCTATATATCTATATATTTATATATTATATATCTATATCAATTAATATATATTAATATATCTATAAAGGATAGGTAAGTTATAGTTCCATAAACAAATATATATGATATTTTAACCTATTTTAATAGAAAATACTCTTCTATTTGTGTCCAATATAGAGTTCTTAAGCATTTATGGGAGAATGGCAAGAAAGGACTGAAAGTACAGGTTTTTTAGTGTGAGGTAACTTTAAGGATACTAAATGTATGACAATCTTATGTCATGTATAAAAAATTAATCCAATGCATCTAATTAATATAATTTATCAAATTTGAAATTATTCAGTATATGGAATATTTTCTAGATAATTATATATATATTTAATCTTCTCCTTACCAATTATTACTTTTTTAATAATAAAAGATAACTATATGTAAAAATAAATGCTTATGATATAGACATATCAATTAGCTGAAAATCTCAGAGATAATTTATTCTTGTATATTTTTACACAGAAAATTAAATAAAACTTTGAATTAGCAGTAAAATATTAGCGTGTCCTTCTCCTTATAGCCCTTCAAAATATTTACAATTTTTAGGTAATAATCCTAGATATAATCTTTGGTTATTAGAATTAAATCATGCCTTGACTTTTTTTTTTAAGATTTTACTTATTTATTTTTAGACAGAGGGAAAGTGAAGGAGAAAGAGAGGGAGAGAGACATTAATGTGTGGTTGCCTCTCACACGCCCCCCACTGGGGACCTGGCCTGCAACCCAGGCATGTAGTCTGATTGAGAATCGAACTGGTGACCCTTTGGTTCACAGGCTGACACTCAATCCACTGAGCCACTCCAAACAGGGTGCCTTGACTTGTTTATTAGATTAACACTCTAGAAAAATGTCTAATTAGAAGTTCAACCGGGGTTTTTGACAAGAGTTAAACTGAGTAAGAATATAGGTTACCAAGCTTATTTTTGTTTTTGTTTTTTACTTTATTTGTTCAGAAAGGCTATTTTCATTCAGTCCATAAAGAGCCATTGATCATTTTCCCCAACACCATAACCTTATGCTGGTAAACAGTACAAACACATGATGGCCTTTTTAACACCTAATATTTTTTTGTGGTGATGGTAAACCACCATGATGGGCTTCTGCAAGAGTTAGATAAATTGCAAGACCATTAATATTGAAGTTTTATAAAGGGTAAGTTTAAATCTAAAAAGGAATTTAAGGAAGTAAATGAAAATCTTATCTATAATTCTTCAAGCCATTTACTTCAGGACCCCAGAGTTGAGTCTTTTTATGCCCAGTTTTTACTCATTGAGCTTAGCTAAACTGTTAGAGTTTCATTGTCACCAGTGCAATAAACTTACTGTGACAGAAGTGTAACCTGTCACTGAAGTCTCAGTGTAGCCACATTCCCAGTTTTTACACACCATGAACCTCAGTGCTCATTGTCGCCTAGAATGAGGCATGTTAGTTTTTGTTTTCAAGTCAGTCACACAGTGTTGTCGATCTAGAATTGCAATGTATAACACATGAATGTTTTCCTTTTTTTTTTTTTTGAAACATTGAAATCGTTTTTTTGTTTTTGTAAACATTTTTAATTTATTTTTTTATTTATACATCATGTTTATTCTATTACAGTTGTCTCAATTTTCCCCCTTTACCACCCTCCATGCATCCACCCCCAACCCCCGCTCCCACAGTTAATTCCCACTCTGTTGTCCATGTCCATGGGTCATTCATACATGTTCTTTGTCTAGTCCCTTCGCCTTCTTTCCACCATTGTCCTCTTTTCCCCTCCCCTCTGGTCACTTTCGGTCTGCTCCATGTTTCTGTGCCTGCGGTTTATTTTGTTCATTAGTTTATTTTGTTGATAGAGTCCACTTATAGGTGAGATCATATGGTATTTGTCTTTCATCAACTGGCTTATTTCACTTAGTTTAATATCCTACAGTTCCATCCATGTTGTCGCAAAGGTAGGAGTTCCATATCTCTCTCTCTCTTTTTCCTTAAATGCAGATTGATTTTATTTATTTTTTAAATGTCAAAGTTAATTATAAAATATGTAAAAAATTTGAAACCATTATAAAGTCTCAGCAATTAAACCAACATGACACCAGCACAGAAATAATCAAGTAGATCAATGAAATATAATGAGCATTCTAGAGAAAAATGTATATATCTGTCTAACAATATAATATATGATTAAATTGCTATTTCAAATCAATGGGGAAAATAAGAATTGAAGAATACAGCAGAAGAAATCAAAAGCAGGCTCGATGAAGCTAAGGACCAAATCAGCGAGCTGGAAGACAAGGTAGAAAACAGCTCCCAGAAAGAGCAAGAAAATGAAAAAAGACTCAAAAAGAATGAAGAGGCATTTAGGGAAATGCAGGACAACCTGAAACGTAATAATATCCATATAATAGGGATACCAGAAGGAGAAGAGGATGAGGAAGGGATAGAGAACGTGTTTGAAAAAGTAATGATGGAAAACTTCCCTAATTGGAGGAGAGAAAAAATCTTTCTTTTCGACTTTTATTCAATTAAATTTTGTCATCTTCGTTTACCAATAGGTTAAACCCCTCACACATCTTGACCTTAAAGATGTCTATTTAAAAAATTTTACATCTATATCATGCAGTAGTTTCTCCTGTGTACTTCTTGCTTACTGTTTTTTGTTGAATATTCTGTTTCTGATTTCAACCCATGATGATACATGTAGATTTAGTCCATTATTTTTGTCTGCTTTATTATGTAATGTGCTTATACAACATTTTATTCATTAGTTTTTAAATTAAAAGACATTGAAGCTGTTTCCAAGGTTTTGCTGTTTTAATCAATGTCATGATGAATACTCTTGTGTATATCTGTTTGTAGCTTTGGGAAAAAAATTCTCTATGGGATATATATCGGAAGTGGAATTATTGGATCTTTGAAAACATTTCCTAAATGTCCAGAAAATGGCTGAGCAAATTTTTGTTCCTATCAGTGGCGCATGAGATTTCTGGTTTCTTCATAATCTAACTACAAACTTATGTAGAACCATAATGAGATATTATCTCACACCTGTCAAAATGGCTCTCAACAATAAATCAACAAGTGCTGGCGAGGATGTGGAAAAAGGGGGGCACTTTTGCACTGTTGGTGGGAATGCAGACTGGTGTGCCACTGTGCAAAGCAGTATGGAAATACCTCAAAAAGTTAAAAATGGGTCTGCTTTTTGACCCAGCAATCCCACTTCTGGGAATATACACAAAGGAACCCAAAACACTAATTCAAAAGAACATAAGCACTACTATGTTCATTGCAGCATTATTTATAATCACCAAGATATGGAAGCAGCCCAAGTGTCCATTTGTAGATGAGTGGATAAAACAACTATGGGACATTTACCCAATGGAATACTACTGAGTTGTAAAAAAGAAAAAAAATTACCCTTTGTAACAGTGCGGATGGACCTGAAGAATATACTAAGTAAAATAAACCAGTCAGAGAAAGACAAACACCATATAATTTCACTTACATGTAATGAACAAACTAAACTAAAGAGTAAAATAGAGACAGACTCATAGATAGAGAAGGGGATGACAGCTAAGGTTGGGGGAATTTAGGGTGTAGAGGAATTGAGCGAAAAGGAAAAATGAATCATGGATAGGCACAACAGTGCGGTGATTGGAGGGTGATGGGGAAAAGGGAAATAAATGATAATGGGGGAAAAAAAGCTTTCAGAAACAAAAATATAAATAAATAAAATAAAAATATGTTATATTTAATCCTATGTTATGTTATGTTGCAATTATCTTTAATAAGTCTCTTGGTCATGTATCTGTTTATTGTGGTATCATTTATAGAAAATAAACCATTAATATTCATGTGATTAAAATCACATATTTTCTTTTGCTCTTGCATATTTTCCCTTTTAAAAAGAACAACTTTACCCACCTAATCCTATATAGTTTACTTTAAAATAATTTTTAATTTTTCAATTACAGTTGACATACAACCCAATTATTACACATTATATAACTTATTAAGTGTTTACCCCAATAAATCTGGTACTCTTGTGATACCATACATAGTTATTACAATATAATTGACTATATTCCCTATTCTGTACCTCACTTTCTGTAACTACCAATTAGTACCTCTTAAACCCTCACCTGTTTCATTCATCCCACCAACCTTCTTCACATCAGGCAACCATGAAAATGTTCTTTGTATATGTAGGTCTATTTGTGTTCTGCGTGTTTGTTTGTTTTTAGATTCCACATTAAAATGAAATCATATGGCATTTTCCTTCCTCTACTTGACTTATTTTACCCACCACAATAACCTCTGGGTCCGCCGATGTTGTTGCAGAAAGCAAGATTTCATTCTTTTTTTTTTTATGGATGAGTCATATTCCTGTATATATGCGCCATTATTTATTCATTCATCTTCTTAGGTTGTTGCTATATCTTAGCTGCTGTAAATAATGCTGCAATGAACATATGAATGTGTATGTTTTTTCAATGTAGTGTTTTGGGTTTTGTCAGATAAATACTCAGAAGTGGAATTTCTGAGTCCTCCTTTGTCTCTTGTTATATAGACTTTATTTTAAAGTCTATTTTGTCTGGTAATCCAGCTTTTCATTTGTTTGTTTTCATTTTCATGAAATACCTTCTTTCATCTCTTTGTGTGTGATTTTCAATCTGACGAGAGTCTCTTGTAGACAGCATATATAAGGGTCTTGTTATCAATCAGTCTCTTTATGTCTTTTTTTTAATCCTCACCCAAGGATAAGTTTTTATTGATTTTAGAGAGAGAGGAAAGAGAGACAAACATTGATGTCAGAGAGTAACATTAATTTGTTGCCTCCTGTAGTCACCCCAGCTAGTTTTTGAACTTGCAACCTAGACATATGCCCTGACTGGGGATGAAAACTGCAAGCCTTTGGCGTATGGGACAATATTCCAACCAACTGAGCTACCCAGCCAGATCTCAATATATGTTTTTATATGGGCATTTAATCCATTTACATTTAATTATTATAGATATGTATTGATTGCCATTTCTTCATTAATATTTATTATTTTTTGTTTCTTTTTCTTCTTAAAGAAGACCCTTTATATGGGCATTTAATCCATTTACATTTAATTATTATAGATATGTATTTATTGCCATTTCTTCATTAATATTTATTAGTTTTTGTTTCTTTTTCTTCTTAAAGAAGACCCTTTAACATTTCACATAATACTGGTTTGGTGGTGATAAACTCCTTTATATTTTTCTTGAATGGGAAGCTCCTTATCTGTTTTTTTTTTATTCTAAATGACAGTTTTGCTAGGTAATATTGGTTATAGGTCCTTGCTTTTTTCTTTTTTTAAATTTTTCTTTATTGTTGTTCAATTACAATCGTCCTCATTTCCTCTCTATTACTCTCCCCTGCCCTATCCACCTCCCACCTTCTACTTTCAGTCTTCCCACCCTGTTGTCTTTGTCCATGGATGCTTTAAACATGTTTCTTGACTTGACCCTTTCCCTTCTTTCCCCTGTTATCACTCTCCCCCGCCTCTATTCACTGTCAATTTGTTCTTTATTTCCACATCTCTGGTTCTGTTTTGCTCATTTGTTTTGTTGATTAGGTTACAGAGATTGTATGGTATTTGTCTTTCACTGCCTGGCTTATTTCACTTAGCATAATACTCTCCAGTTCCATTCATGTTGTCGCAAAGGGTAGGAGTTCCTTCTTTCTTTCTGCTGCATAGTATTCCATCGTGTAAATGTATCGCAGTCTTTTTTTATCCACTCTTTTACTGATGAATGCTTAGGCTGTTTCCAGCACTTGGCTAGTGTTAATCGTGCTGCTATGAACATTGGGGTACATAGGTTCTTTGGAACTGGTGTTTCAGGATTCTTAGGGTATAATCCTAGCCGTGGAATTGCCAGCTCAAAATGCAGTTTTTCACTGAATATTCATTGCCAACCTCTTCTGGTCTGTAAAGTTTCTGCTGAGAACTCAGATGACAGTCATATATGAGCTCCCTTGTAGAAGAACTAACTGCTCTTCTCTTGCTGCTTTTAAGATTCTCCCTTTGTCTTTTACCTTCGGTATTTTAATTATGTGTCTTAATGTTGTCCTCTTTGACTTTTTTTGGGACTCTCTAAGCTCCCTGGTCTTGTATGTCTCTTTCTTCACTAGTCTAAAAAAGTTTTTTCAAAGAGGTTTTTAATTTCTTGTGTTCTCTCTTCTCCTTCCTGTATCCCCATCATGTGAATGTTAATAAGCCTGAAGTTGTCCCAGAGGCTGCTTACACTATCTTTATTTTATTATTATTATTTTTTGCTATTCTTTTTCTTAACTTCCAAACTTCTGATTTGATCTTCTGCTTCATCTATTCTACTGTTGATTCTCTGTAACATATTCTTCATTTCTATTAATGTATTCTTCTTTTCTGACTAGTTCCTTCTGATGCTTTCTATCTC